CTAACAAGTATACCCTAAAAATAAGGAATTTTCCCATAAAATATACTGACCTCAGAAGCAATCTCTCACATCCTGCAAAATCAGATTTGCACAGGATATATCCCCTACATAACTATCATTTCTTGACAGACTCATCTGAGCAATTACAACACTTCTTGAAAACACAGAATATGAGAACAGTGAGGAGCAACCAGGTGTCTGTAACATTTATTTTGCTAGTCACTAAAAGACCCTTCAAGACCCTTTTTAGTTTCCACAGCAACAAAAAAGATAATTTTCAAGTGCCAGCAACTTATCCTGGAGAGAGACTGTTGAGGAAAAACTCAGGCAATGTTAGTAGATAACAATTATCACTGTACTGTTCCCTGGAGAACTTTTCAACACAGACATGCCATAATAGGAGCTACAGGTCCACAGTGTAGATCACTGTCCTTTTATCCTACAAACCCACTAGGAACTGCCAGGAGAAGCCACCCTAAACAACCTATTCCTATATTCTCACCTGAGTACAGGCTGCAGGAAAAGTTCAAGTCTGCTTTTTACTTACCAGTTCCCTGTCCCTCCTGCTTATTAATGCCTCTGAATAGGAACAGACTTGAGCTTCTCATTTGACAGTCCTTTGCATTGCCAGGATTTGACAAAACCTGGAAAAAATAAAAGCAGCTGCCCCAGTAAAATATCCTCAATAGGTTTCAAGTGCCAGACTTTTGCTTTGGATTGACTTTCACAGCTCAAAGTGTGATTCTTTCTGGAGCCCAGCTGTCTGTCTAGAGTGATATTTTTTTGAGCAATAATACTAACCAGAAGTACATGAACTCATCAAGGACATACTGGCCCCAGTAACTACCGAGCAATGCTTTGGACAACCTTTCCACTTGGGAGGGGATTTTTACAGAAATTTGCATCCCCCAAACCATAGCCATCAGGGCAGGTCAGATTCGTTTGCTGAGGGGAATAGATTGCAACTTGAAGCTGTTGAAAAGGCAGAACATGTTTGGATGCTATAATTCCCCCCATCAGACATCCATAGCTGCTTCTGCTCAGGGCTATGAAGGTAGTTTATACAGGAAGATTAGTTCAAAAGGCATTTTGCAGGCAGACAGGTAGCTGGGAGCCAAAGACTAACAATTCTGCCTCAGTTGATGATAGAATACATATGTGCATGTGGAAAAGACAGAAAGGGAGAATACTGCTCATCTCATAACTGACAGATTAGATTTCTCTTTCCCCATCCATTTTTAATTTGCTTACAGAGTTTGATGAAACAGAGCTCCCTAGGCTGGGCTGGGGGCACAGGGAAGCTGTCTGTGCTTGGGAGCTGCCAGAATGAGCAGCCAGGGCTGATGCAGCTGGGTGATGGATGGAAGACAGGGCAGCCCTGCTCCCACTCCCTCCTGTAGCACAGGGAGGACTGCAGCTCTCCTTGCCCTTCCCACAGACAGGTCCCTGACAGAGGTGACCAAACCAGCTCTAAGAAGCATTGCCAGGCTGGGAAATTCTTCATCAAAAATACGCAAAATCCAATTTTTGCACCTCCTTGCCAAGTACAGCAGTGTGACACAATTCTCAGAGCTGTGCTCTGTGGGGTGAGCCAGGGTGAGCATCTGAGCATCCCCATGCAAGGCATGCCATGAAACAGCAACCAAATGCTGCAGCCAAGGCCTGCTGAGGGACAGGGCTGCCAAAACTGCAGAACCCCTCTCCTGAATACACAACTTTGGACTGCAGGTCCAGGAAGTGAACACCTGAACTGTCTTTGAGAGCGTCAAGCTAAACCCCAGAGTCTGGCTTTTTGCTCCCACTTGAAAGCAGCTCCTTTGTTTCAGCACCACTGATTTTTTAGCAGAGCCACTACATAACTGAGTATAAATCAAGTCTCTGGTGTCAAAGGTGCTCCATCTCTCACATTTGTGAAAGGTGTGGATGGGCAGCAGGGTTGGAACAGGAGTAGGATCTCTGGAGAGTCCTCCTGAAGTCACCAGCTCAGCCCTGAGGGGAGCACAGCCTGCTCATTACAGACTTTTTCTACTGAAAAGGCCATTGTAGCAATTTTTTGCCAAATCAAGGACTGATTTATCCCTGTTGTAACTTTACTGAGTTCAGTCAAGCTATACAAGTCATGAATTTAGCTCATGAATTTAACTTCCTCCATAGAGAATACTTTTTTCCCCTTTGATAGTGCTTCAGTGAACCTCTCAGAAAATTTATGAGCACAGATTCTGCTCCAGCAAAGCATGTAAGCAGACACACATGGGAAGAACGTGAGAAATTGTCCAGAGAGGAGCTGGATTATTTCCATACTTACACCATCACCAGCCTTTTTCACCTGACATCCTTGCTCATGTTTTATTCAGTGGGACACAGAGGGCTCCTTCAAGCATTTGGCTTCCAACTCTGAAATGATGGCCAAAGGAAATACTCCCAATTGCCTTCCCTGGATGCTGAATTTTGCAGAGGCTAATGGTTTGTTTTGGTGGCAGTGGGGAGGTTTGGAGAGGACAAGACAGAGTCCATCTTTTTACAACAAACACATCCACTCTGTCCAGATTTAGGGATTTTACCAGACACAAGTGGCATCATCTTCTGAGATTTGCCCAGAGATGTCCCTGCTTAGCACTGGTTGCTGGCCCACAATTCTCCCTGCTGGCTTCCACCCATGAGTCCCTCCAAATTCCCACCACAAAACCAGGCTGTAGACCCTGCACTAACATTGTGACCACTGTTTTTTCTGTGAAAATGAATATCATGTCCTGTTTTCAGGGCACATTTTTGATGCACCTCATCTCACCTACATTTCCCTCTTCCAGGCCGGCCGTGGGACCTTACTGGACTTGGCACCAACACCTTTCTCTCCTGTTTCTCCTCCTTTAAGGAAACACTTTGGCTCTGGCTAGGTGCTTACATTTCCATTAGCTCCCAGATCTGTTACACAGACTTGACCTGGGCTGGATTTCACACCAGAATGATGGTTTGTCTGACAGACCCTGTTCACCATTTACCCTGCTTGTGCCAGTTCTTAGCATACATCCAGCAGTGTCCCCTCATAGCTCCAGGGTGCCACTATCCTGATCATACAGGGCCTGGATCATACCAACACCCTGATCACCCAGTGCTCAAACCAACACCCTGATCACCCAGTGCTCAAACCAACACCCTGATCACCCAGTGCTCAAACCAACACCCTGATCACCCAGTGCTCAAACCAACACCCTGATCACCCAGTGCTCAAACCAACACCCTGATCACCCAGTGCTCAAACCAACACCCTGATCACCCAGTGCTCAAACCAACACCCTGATCACCCAGTGCTCAAACCAACACCCTGATCACCCAGTGCTCAAACCAACACCCTGATCACCCAGTGCTCAAACCAACACCCTGATCACCCAGTGCTCAAACCAACACCCTGATCACCCAGTGCTCAAACCAACACCCTGATCACCCAGTGCTCAAACCAACACCCTGATCACCCAGTGCTCAAACCAACACCCTGATCACCCAGTGCTCAAACCAACACCCTGATCACCCAGTGCTCAAACCAACACCCTGATCACCCAGTGCTCAAACCAACACCCTGATCACCCAGTGCTCAAACCAACACCCTGATCACCCAGTGCTCAAACCAACACCCTGATCACCCAGTGCTCAAACCAACACCCTGATCACCCAGTGCCTGGATCAAGGCTCCCACATGCTGTCCCTTTTTTAAATCCCAGTTGCTCAGCAAAAAGTTTCAGAAAACAATTCATGAACACCTTAATTATTCCTGCCATTCTCTGCACTGTAAATATTTATCTTACATCAGCTGAGGAGCAAATTTACATTTTCAGAAGGATCTGCCACACAAAATCTGTTGAAATCTCTTTCTACTTCTCCTTTATCTCCCTCCTTCTTAGCAAACTTTTAATCTTGGGAAGGCTTCAACAATCTAACTCTGAATCCAGGGAGACAATAATAAAGGGTTACCGCAAGCCGCTCTTCCAACACAACAGACTTTATTTAAAAATAGAGCCTCCCTACAATATTCTGCCTTTGTCCCTGCAAAGTGCCTGCCTGGAAGCTCATGCAGCTCCCTGGGGCTTGCCTTTCTGAGCAGGCATCCCCACAGGACCAATCCCAGGGCATCTTTGCTGACAGCCCAGGCCAAGAAGTACGAGCAGCCTGTGAATCCTGGCCATGCACTGCTCTCACTCAGCAGGAGTGGCCTGAAAAGAACCATGGCTTTGCTACAACTGCTTTGTAGCCCCAACAAGCAAGTGCTTGGCTTGCTGTGAGCCTCTTCCCGTGCACCCTTTTGCTGCCTCCTCCCTCAGCCACAGAAATGCTCCCCCAGCCCAGACACTTTCAGAGTTTCTTTCTTACACAGCCTCTCTAAGCCAAGAAAACTGCTCAGCTCTATTCAGGTGATCTCTGACAGCCTTCAAAGGATTGCTAATTCCAGTCTGCTTTAAAAACACAGAGCATTCTCTCCCTTGCAGCTTTTGTTTTTTGCCCTCCCTGCTTTAGGTCAGCACTTGTTGGGCCCATAAAGCACCCCAGTAGAAACTCAGCACACCTGGAATTCCCTGGAGCTCCTGCAGAGCTGAGGGCAGGGAGATCACACACTCCTTGGCAGGGCCATCACATTGCTAACACCAAAGCAGTCTCTGGAGGAGACTGGTGCACCCCTGGCTGGCTTGGATTAAGGGCTGACAAGGGTTAACAGTGTTTGCTCCTCTCTGCATCACCCCCCCTGCTCACAGAGCTGCTCCCCGGGCAGGCAGGGCTGGATTAGGCTGCAGGAGCAGCCTGGCTGACACTCGGTGCAGGAGCAGCTCCTGGGCTCTGCAGGCAGCACAGCCCAGGAGCTGAGGGGACAGCAACCAGCACCTGGGAGACTGCACAGCTGGGCAAGTTTAAAACAACCTCTGAAAACACCCCACTGAAGGAAGCACCAAAACCCCGTTGTGGCTTTGGTCTTTTGTTTGTGTTGGTTTTTTTTTTACTTTTTGTGAAGGACTGCAAGCATTTCAGTTGCTATGTCTGTTCAGGAGCCATATGGAAAAATCAGTTCTGTCCTGTTAAACTGGTTGCACAGTTTTGGTTTTCATCTGCCTACAGAGATCTGAAAAGTCTGTGTTCTTTTCTGCTTTTTTGGCAAAGAAAGCGAGTGGTCTGAGGAACATCTAGCCACGAACAAAATAGGTAAGTACAGTATTTTTTGTGTAACATATTTCCAATAGTCTGAGAATATATTGTTTGTGTAATTGAGTGAAAATAGCCTTTGGGATGATGCTCTCTTTGGGATAAGCTGATTATAGGTTTGCTGATCACTTGGTTTGTTTGTTTTCCTGGACAAGAAAAGCTGAGTTGCTGTGGTATCAGTGTGGTTTGCAAGATCCTGTCATTTAAGCAGCAGAAAGACTTTTTTTAAATCCTCTCCAAAGCACAGAGCAACTCAGATTCACTGTCAAAGGTGAAGCAAAATATTTGGGGTTTTATTTTAAATCTGTAAGCTATAATTAGACTAGAGGAATAACCAAGTGGCAAAGTGACTCAGAGTCATAAGGAAAAGCTCTATTATAGGAGCATTAAAATGGAATTGATATGGAAATCTTATCTATTCTTTCAACTTGTTCAGATGGTTGTTTAAGCCTGCATTCAACCAAGTGCTAAAATAGTAGAAGCAGGCAGAGAATAAACCAACTTTTTCTGGCTGTTGAGAGGGACATTCAGATGACTTGGTAACCATAATTTCCATAATCATCTCACTGATACTAAAGATGTGCTTGACTATGGGAATCACAGATTTTGTACAAAAAAAACCTACAGATGGCTTCAATGCTGTATTTAAATGTATGTTTGAAATGGATTTAAAAAGGAAGGGGTCCTTTTATAAAGTCTGTTTAACTGCAATGGACAGCAGGTGTGCTGAACTGGAGATCTGACTGCCTAAAATCTTCCACACTTTTACAGGCACTATGGGGAAAGAGCTGATCTCAGAAAGAACTGAAAATCACAAAGAACTGAGCCTTTGTCTTGCATGTTTTCTCCCCTCACCAGCCAATAATCAGATTTAACCAGGATCTTTACTCCTTGCTGCTTGTAAGATGCAATAGGCTACCTTTTCCTCAAAAAAGGGATCTTGCACACAGAGCTCCCTCTGCTTTCCAAATCCCTGAGCTACAGCTGGTACCTGCACTGAAGGTCTCTGCCCCTTCCACTTTGATACTTTCTGAAACTGACCGTGGCAGACAAAGGAGCTGTAAGTTATAGTCAATAACTGCACTGCCAAAGTTTCCTGTGCTAACTGGAGCCTCCTCCTCCTCTGTGCAGCTCTGGCCAATGCACACAGCAGTTTAAATAATGTCAGTATTTGCTGGGGACTGGTTTTGTACTTTGCTTTCATAGATTCCAAGCTGATAATAAAGCCTGTTGAAAAATGGGACATAGGTGATTTTTAAAAAATCTCTTGCCAGGGTGAATACAAGTTGTTACAGCTCCAGTGAGCAGCAAATGCTGAGACAGGCTGGAAGTGATGCAGGTATGAGAATGATAAGCAACACAAAAATCTAAAAACAAGATTATTGCCCTACAGTGATAAAGCCTTCTTCCAAATGAGATCCACAGAGCTTAAAGTCTAATTACCAGTTCAGGGATTCTTATCCAAGATTCTCCACCTTTGACCAAACAGTATCTTACACAGCTCTGGATAAGTTACAGTGATCCTCTTATCTACACATGCCTACTGTCCCAGTGGGCAAAACAAAAATTCAGTGATCTCTGATAGAACAGCAGAAGCAGGGTTTGGGACATAGGGACCTCCTGAGAGTTTTAAAGAGACAGTTCCATTACAAATAGCTCAGCCTTGAAATTTACTAAGTGAACATCAAAAACTAGAAAAAGTCTTTTAAATGTAATTTTCCACTCATTCTGATAGCAGTAAAACTAATTTTTAAAATAATTGTCATGTTGCACTTGTGCTGCATTGGCTACGTTTTTTTTCCTCTAATTAAAGACTTCATAGCAGTTTCTGCAATTAAATCTTTGCAGAGAGATCCTCAGAGGAACATTTCCACAAACTTTAAACAACTCAGCAAAATGGAGACTTGCACTATTTGAGTTCCTGGCTTGCTGGGATTATAACAAATACCAGGAAAGGCACAGAAAGAGAGGGTCACATTACTTTCTCTCCTATGACAGCCATTTCTGTTCACTTTTGTCACCCCACTTTGCAGTACTGAAGATGTCCTGGCTCTGGCTTTATCTTCCCCTCCATCTTCTCATGGCAACTTGTTTGTGCCATTCTATAAAAGCACCCACCACCAGCTCCCAACAGAGCTTCAAGAGCAACCTCTTCAATTTCTACCACTCCCTGTTACTTGCAGATGGTAAGGAAACTACAATCCACCTGCTGAAGGATATACCCAAAAGGTAAGAGCAAATCAGCCACTCCCATTCTCAGAGACATCCCCATGTCACTGGGAATTGCACACTACCAGGATAAGCCAAGAATCCCTGTGTACCTGCAGGGCTCTAGCAGTGCACACTGAAATGTCAGAAAAAATGCCCCACTCCTCAAGGGTCATTACACTTCCCACAATCTGAGATGAACCTCTGAGATGAAATTTAGATTCCTGAGCACATTTCAGCAGCTTTCTCTGCTGTCAGAGCAGCAGCAGAACTGATACAGGATGGGTGCTCCAGCAGCAAACAGCTGTGTCACAAACAGCCCAGCTTCAGCTCTGCAGACAGCAGCCATCCTCCATTCATGGTGGGATACAAACATTTTACCTAGCAAATCCACTACCCCAAAAATCAATAGAATACCTGCACAGACATCTTATCAGGAAATCTGCCACTGCCCTGCACACTAAAAGTGGTTTTGCTGAATGGCACTACAACTTGCTAGGATCAAAAGTGCTTCGCATGTGGAAATTCCACATTCTTCACCTTCTGAAAATACCTGAAAAAGTCTTTTGCCATACCCAGATGTGTAGGTGATCTAGATATTACAACTGACACTGCATCTGGGTAGCAAAGATCAATCTGCTTGTTTGGGAAGAGATGCACTTTGGACAGAGCCCAGCAAATACAGATTTTGACACACACCCGAGTGGCCATGGAGCAGAGGGTGAGCCAGATTGCTCAGCCTCGATGTGCACTGCACAGAAAAACTGGCACATGTTACATAATGTGACCATGCTCACAAGAGCAGAACTAGGACCTCTCCTAGTTAAAGAACAGGGGTATTGAAACAATGAAAAGGAGTTTTTCTATGCTCTTGTGGCATAACACTAAGACTGCAATTAGGAAGTAGTTTAGCATGATCAGGAAGGTTCTTCTGGATCCCAGTCATCCAAACAGGAAGACAAGCAAGGACAAGTTTTGGCTGAGAGTAAAAGACTCAAGAATGTGGAACTGATTCCAGGGAAGCTTCACCCTGGCCTAGGAGCCATGCCTTGAAAGCAAGCCACACCTCCAGGCTGACAGGGTCTGTCCATAGGGGCTGTGCTTGTCTCACTGGTGAACAACAAAAAAACCCTTGGATTGCCAATTGCCTTCATTAAAGTGCAGAGTGAGGCACCCAAATCCAAGCATTTATCTGGCCAAGTCCATACATTATAGACCCTGTATAAAAACCAACAGAAATAAAACAGAGCAAGACAGGAGGTTGGGCTTTTTCAAGGCAGGAATCAAAACCTGACCAAAGAGACTGATGGCACTTTGTGGTGCTCATGCATAGCAGCCTCTGACACAAAGGCAACCAAGGCAGAACTGGCAACAGATGATTAGGGAGAAGGCAGCCAGCTAAATCACATCCATCATCCAAAATAACCAGCTAAGGACAAGATACAATGCTCACCCAAATCTTGGAAAAAAACTCAGAGGGAAAAATATTGCCTTCAGTGGATCAATCTTTCAGCAAACACATGGGGATTAAAAATAAATACCCCACAGCCTGTTTTCTTCCCACAGCTGAAGGCTGCAGACACTCATCATCCCTTTGTGTGGATGCACCTCAGAGAACAGTCATTTCTACCCAAAACAAAGTGACCCATGTCAGAAGGGCTGATTACAAGGAGTTTTGGGCAAACCTGAATTCCCTGATGCATTGCCTCCATTTCTGTTCACATTTACAGGTACTACTTTGTTTTGGAAGAGGGCAGGGCCCTTGCCCCTTTCTCGATAACAGTGACTCCCTGTGATGTTCCCATTGAGTGGAGCATACTTGTGTACAAGCCTCCACCAGGAAAAGCAGCACCAGGTGAGGCCTTCAGGCTGCCCAAGCAGAGGCAAAGAAAGCTCAGGTTACTCATGGATAACTGTGTTACAGGAAATTTCCCACAACCCTAAACATTTTGTGGTTCCCTCCTTTAAATTGCATGGACTGACCCAGTTTCTGTGGGTAAAACATGGAAACCCATCAGATCTTGCCCTCAACACAAATAAATTAAGGATTAGATATTAAAATGTCTACATCTAAGGTTAATATTTGTGAACAACTGCAGGTCTTCCAGGCTGCACAAACAGACCAACTTCATAAGCTCTTGGTACTGGGCTGAACTCCCCTCTGCTGCCTCAGTTATTTTCTGTGGCTTAGGTCACTCGAGACAACTATTTGCTCCCCACATGAAGCAGAGAAGACTTAGCCATTTATTCTTGCCACATCTGCCATGGCAGTGGGTTCTATACTGCCTTTACCCTTAAAGGCAATTCCTTTCCCTTGCATGATTTTTTAAAATTAATTTTTCAAACTAAAAATCTAAAAGCTGCCATTAACAAGTTCTGACCTGTCAAGCAGGTACACCTGACATAGGAGTTCAAATTACACACCTTTGAATTGATAAGTTTTCGCTCTTCACAAGACAATGGCCTAAAACTAATCCAAAGAAAAAAACCTAGCACAGAAATAATGAGTCTCCTTAAAGTACCCTAAGATATAGCAAATAGGAGAAGAAAATTGTAGGGGCATCAGGCATGATACAAGCCAAGCTTTTGCAAGTTGTGGTTTCATAATTACAGTATTTTTGAAAACATAATTCTACAGCTGCACTGCTAAAATAAAAGCTTCTCAAATTTTAATTTAATAAATTGCCAGTAGCAACATATTTTTACTAAAACATATTTTTAGTTATAATTGCTGCTTTCAAGAAGAAAATACAATGTTCCCTAACAGTAAAACTTGCATGATGTGCCTTATTTCACATCTTTGAAAGCAGAAGTTACAAGTCTGCCTTTTGCCTGCAGGTGACCATGATACACAAGAGGTCTCCAAATCTCACAAGGCTTCAAGCATGGTGTCCACTCTCTTCAACTACAAGGGAAATTCTGTAGAGACCTACATGGGAATGTCTTCCCATTCTGCCCTGTACCTGCTGGAGTTCCTGTCCACGGAGAGGGACACACACATCACCGTGTACCTGACAACTGACACCACGTCTGGGCACCTGTACCCAGAGCTCCCGGGGGATCCACGCATCGATGTCATTGGCATCGGCCCCACAACGGTGACCCTGGCCTGGAAACACAGCCCTTCTGTCCTGCAGCACAGCGAGGGCATCCAGTACTGCCTCCTGGTTAATGAAAAGCACAACTACAAGAGCTTGTGTGCTGCTGAGACAGCCATCAGATCCTCTGGAATGAAGCTGCCACCCACGGTAGCTCTGTCCCTCTCTCCATACCTTCTGGAGCCACAGCAGGTGATGATACTGTCCAACAGTGAACTGAGCATCATCAACAAAGTGAGCAGTGGGGAAGTCAGGCAGGTGTGCATGGGCACCAAGAACACCTACACAGTGCCCAACCTCAGCCCCAGCACTCAGTATTACTTTGATGTTTTTATTGTCAACCTCCTCACAAACGCCAGCGCCGCGTACACCGGGACATTCGCCCGGACCCTGGAAGAACCTGAGCCCAAGGTGACAGAGCTGAAAGATGGCAAAGTGATTCATGTGGTCCTGGATGGGAAAAAGCAGAAATTCTATAGTCTGCAGTACCAGGCAAGGCACAAGAAAATCCACTTCACCTTTCAGTTGTGTCGGGGCCAAATACGGGTTCACATAACAAGGAACGGCAAAACAGTGGCATCAGAAAACCTCTCTGGGCTGAGGTATTTCTCCCTGAAGGGAAAGCTGCTGGACACCTATTCAGTGCAGCTGAGGTCCACAGAGGAATCTAACTCTTCTGTGAAGGTACTGGCATCCCCCCATTTCCACAAGCCCTTATTCCCACTTCTTCCAGAGAGCTTAAAAATCAAATCCTTCAGTAAACTGAGAACATGCAGGTCTGTGACCATTGCCTGGCTGGGAACACAAGAGGAGAGCAAGTACTGTGTGTACAGGAAAAGGATTGAGGAGGATCAGATCTGGAGGGAGCTGCAGAGTGCAGACAGGTGCTCTGGGCCTGAATCTCGGCACAAATCAGAGAAAGTGCTGTGCAAGTACTTCTATGACCTCAACCTCCAGCGAGCCGTCACCACAGAGACCATCAAAGGGCTGGAGGCAGGGACACTCTACTTGTTTGATGTTTATCTCTTTGGGCCGTCTGGCATCCCTGTCAGATATCACAGCAAAGTTGTGAAGACCAGGAAAAAATGTTGAAGGTTTTGAATGAAAGCCCGAAGTGAGTGAATGCAGGTAGTATGGAAATCTACTCCAACCCAAGTCAGAGCCCCTGCAGTTTGAACTATGCTGACAAAAAAAATTTCAAGCTATAAGATTCTACAGCAAAACACATCTTAGGTGATTATACGTCTTCTCTCCTGTGTAAGGTCGGGTGCATTTTTTCTTTCCTTGTCTCATTCAAACATTAAAAACAGAGTTGTGAAACACTCATACATATGGAAATAAAATAGCCCAAGAGTACTCATGAGAAATAGACTGGTTACCTAAAATGCTTCTGAAATCCAGCACAGAAGTGATGGGGAAATGCCTCACATGAAGCACACACCATTGCTCAAGTCCCAGAGATTTTTCCACTATCTGTAACTCATGCAGCTAATGAGGAACTGAGAGACCTCACAAATCAGACTGCTCTTGAGAAAGAGATTCCTCACTGCTTGAGCAAGAAAGGAAACAAAAAGAAATTGAAAAAGCAGTGGAACTGATGTATAGCTCGATGCATTGAGTAAAGCAGGCTGAACTACATCTTCCCCTATTAACCTGCATGCTTGCTTGGTTTCATTCCTACAGAGAAACTGTGCTTGGTTAGAAACAGACAAAATTGAGGCCAGGAACTGGCTCTGGATCTGGCTTTTCTCAGGAGTGTACAAATACACTGCTGTGTTACTGCCCACAGAGGAAAGCAGCAACTGAGGAATCTTGCCATGGAAAGATTTGTCAACTATAGCCTCTGAAATCAAGCCCATGTCAGTGACTGTGATTCCTGACTGTAATATATTCATTCTTTGCATCCTTAAGCCAGCCTATATCAATGAATGCATTGCTTTGAGAAAAATTAAATGTGGTTTTCCTACTAAATTTCATGGAAGGAAAATATTTGTAATAAAAATTCTGACACACTTTGGTTGTCTTGTTTCCTTGATTACCTTCCATATATGACATGAGACAGGGTTAAAAAAGACAATTAAGTCTTCATGAACTCCCTTAGGTTCATTTCCAATTATCAGTAGAAAGTATTTTGTATGTAGGTTCTTGGCAGGCCTGGAATTTACATATGAAGAGATACAATAGCTTCACTAACCAAGAGGTTGCCAGAGAAATTTTGCCTGTAGTAATTATTTTTCCTCTACAATTACACTAAACACATACATAAATGATTAAATCCATTGTTGTGTATTTGTCTTGCAGTTCAGGGTCATCAAAGTCCCAGTTTACTCTGAACAATTATTCCATCCAAGTGTGTTTGGAGGCCCTTGGTAAGGACAGAATCAGTCCTGTGTGCAGGACCAGGGTTGTGTTTCCTGCTCCAAGGACTCTGAGCCCTGTGCACCCTGTCCAGGGCACTCTGTGCCTGCTCAGCCCCAGATGAGGGGCCAGGCCTCCCCAGGGATCAGCTGCAGGGTCTGGGCTTGGCTGGGCTTTGCATTCCTGCAGGCACTGCCCCGGACTGAGCAGGGCCACAGCAGGAGCCACGTGCTCTGCAGCCTCCTGTCCACACTCCACAGCCTTTTGGCTAATTACAGGGGCTGGCAGCTGCTCTGCCTTCATTCCAAGGCAGGCCCTCGCTTCATTTGCCTCCTGCCAAAAATAGTCTGAGCTCAGAGAGCAACAGAGGTCATCTCTGCTTGGAAATCTCAATGTTTTCTGCCTTCCTTCTCAATTTCAGGCACTTATATTGTGGATTAATTTCATTTAGACGCCCTACAACTGACTGTAATAACAACCATAACTATAACAGAGGAACAGGAAGATCTAACTGCAGATACAATATATTCTTAATCCCCTGCCCTCAGTCTGGCAGAGCATTAACCCTTGCCTTTGCCCTCTATACAGAAATGCCACAAAAAAAGTCTTTTGGAAGAAGATACATTGGCTCCTTGACCAGTACCAGTGTTTCTACTAAAACAGGTTTTTACAATGGGACTGGCCTTGGGCTTCTCAGTAACACCCTGGATTAGGGCTGTAGTCCAGAGATGTGAGGAAGGGATAGAGGGAGAGCCTGAAATAGGGCAGAGAGCTGAGGAGTCAGAGGTGGCACAGAAGCAAAGGCTCAGTGTTACACCAAGTTAAGCGCAACAGTTAAGAACCTGCAAGGAAGGAGCTCAGGTTTGGAGGACAGCAGCTATTTCAGAGGGACTTGGAAAAGAGCCAGGAGAGTCTCTTCTTCCCAGATTCACCATTTGTTCTTCACTCCTCCTCCCCTGGCCACTGCCCCATGCAGAGGACTGGCTGAGGCAGAGCACAACTTACTGGTCCTGTGGCCCCGGCAGGGAGCCGAGCAGGGCAGGGAGCACTGGTGCTGCTGGGAGGGCTGATGCCCGTCCCTCACTCACAGGAGGAGCTTTCTCCCACACACACCAGCCCCTCCATCAGCCAAGGCCCCTGCATTCAGCAGATATCTCAGCTGTAGAGAGGAACATGCTGTTCTGCCACAGCCCATCACCCCTGACACAGCAGAGCAGGTACCTGCCCTCCAGGCAGCAGCCCACCTCGCTCATGTGGGCAGCCAGCCATGCTCTGTAACAGAGCCCAGGAGCAGCAGGGATGGAGAGCAATGTTCCTCTCCACTGATCTTTCCACTGTGACTGCAGCAGGCTGCAAACCTGTGCTCAACTCACTCATGCCCACACCCTGCTCCTGAGGCAGCCTCTGGGTGCACTGGTTTGAGCTGGGGCTCAGTGCTGTCCCCAAAGTTTCAAAGGCTTATCCACAGCAAAACCAGAGGTGCTGCATTAACCCTTGGTGCTCTTCCCTCCCCTACACAGGCAGCTGTTTGTGTGCACAGCTCCCCATCTTCAGCACCCACAAGTCCTTTTCTTTCAAAGCTCTTTGGCATCTTCCCTTTCCCCTCCTTCCATTTTGACTAGTCTTGGCCTACTAGGCCACGTCTAACCAAAACATTTCCCAAGCCTTTTCTCCTTGCTTGTCTTCATGCTTTCTGCAGTCCTTCCTGTTCCATCTTTAGAGGCTCAATGTCTTCAGCTCAGCCTGTCCTAAGCTGCCATCAGCTCTTCCCACCCCTGCTCCATCTGAGTCACACCAGAAGCACAGACAGATCTCTTCATGGAGAACATTTCAGAGCAACGTCTTGTTCTGTGGATCATTTAAAGTAAGCCATCAGCATTATTATCAGGCCAAAGTATTTTCCCTGGCTAATGTATGTCAAATCCTGTCACAGCTGAGATCAAAGGCCATGCTTCTCCTCCCAGCCTTTTTACAGAATTGCTCCCACTGCCATGACACCCCCTGCACATGGGAAGTGAGGGTCAGGGTACCAAAAGCACAGCAGGCAAGTAAGAGAGAACAGGTTTAACTCCACATCCATTCTCCCTGTGGGCTCAGCCTCACAAATGAAAGCTAGAATTGGCAAAATGAAGTGCTGGTATGGGAAACAGTGCAATAACAGAGCATGGGCCTAAGTTTACCATTGTGTGTTGCTGCTGGGCACAAACCAGAACAAGCAGGGGCTCTTCAGCATCACCTTTCAGTGCTTCATAGAACTGCTACTGATAGGGACTTTGAAATGTGACCCAAGTCAGTAACAATTGCTTGTTCAATTTATATACTTTGAAAAATATTGCTGTCCAAAACCAGTGAGAGGTTTCCAACACTGGGTTCATGGATTAATGGCATTTATGAGTTAATATTTAGCTGACAGCAAAAATAATCTATATTGTTCATTCCTTTCTTATTTCCTGTATGTAACAACCCATTTATCCATTCCCTGTTACTTTGAGTTTGCCAATAAATTTAAATACCCTTCCAAGTGGACCTGGTAGTTTAATAAATTGTTCCCTATCTGCCCACATTCAGGGATGCATTCACAGCTTTAAAAGAAAAAAAAAAAAGCTTAATTTCAACTTTGTATCTTGCAATTTCTTTTTCTGGCTGATGCTTTCCCACTTGGAACACTCCCTTCTAGCTTAAACAACATGTTAAAATATTCTTCCTACTTTGGCCTGTGGTGCAGAGGCAAAATCCTGCTCATTATTTGCTTTGTAAGACACAGAGCTCAAGTGTTGGTTTACATGCACACACACCACCCTCATTTTGGGCTTCCTTACTATTCCCTGTTGGGTTTTGTGGGTTAAGAATTTATGAGCCATGGACACTGCAGTTAAACATCCTGGCCACATGCAGCTTTGCACAAGGCATAAAATCTAATATTGAAAATCAAACAGCATTAGCACTGACAGCAAGTACAGACCAGTGACCCCAAAATGCCAAAGGCTTTCAGGTGCTGTTAGAGCAGCTGAAGCTCTCTGGCATTTAGACAAAAATGGATGACTGAGTAATCACTCAGCACAACAAAATAGAGGGTGGCTGTGGGGGAACAAACGATGTGTGGCTGCTCATCAGTATTCCCTCTTCTGCACATGCAGGACTGAGACACCAACAGTGTAACAAAGCCAGGCCAGTGTGCTTCTCTTGCACAGCAACAGGGATTCCATGGACAAGCCTGCCAGGGAGTATTAAACAACAGCAGTGTAAAAAGGGAGATCACTCCACTAGAAGAGGCAAACAGCGAGTGCGTCCCGCAGCTGCAATGCATTCCTCCGCCCAGAAACGCGATCTAAGTCAAGGATGGGCCCGCGGCATCCGGGCTGCCGGGAGAGCATCCTGGGCAGCACCCGCTGCACCAGAACTGCAAACACCAGAGGGCACTCCCCGGCTGCAGAAGGAGCACAGAGCGTGCTCGATAAGGCTTATCAGCAACAAATATCTCAGCAAATTTAACTAGTCAAGCATCTTTCTGGTAAGATTATTAAGAGTAGAAGAAAAAAAATCCAAAGAGCTCACATTTTATTTTCTATTAGTCTTTTACATCTTCCAAGCTTGAGGGATTTTTGTTAAAATTAAGTGTGTAAAACCTAACAGCCAAGGAATAGCGAGAGACAAGCACTTGCTAAAAGGACCAAAACACTAGTGGGACCACTGCCTCTGAGATGTCAAATCAACCACTAAGGGGCTAAAGCTCAAATAAAACAAACACTGTGGTACTGAGGACAGTCACAGGTTTCATCATGCTCAGGTGGGGAGTCAGGCACAATCTGCTCAGCAAGCTCCTATCCCAGGCACCCCATCTCTCCTCCTGCAGTGCCCTTGTACTGAGGGACATTCTCTGGGGTATTACTTCCCTGACTCACCAACATTTAGACACTGACCTCCCACTGGAGCTGGATGTCCCACCTGTACTCTGGGACACAGCAAACAGATTGCAGTTTGTCAGGGCCCTTTTTGGGGGGGGAATTTGGTCACTGGCCTTGTAGCCTCTATAAGAGATTAAGGATTTGCTTACAGGGGCCAGGAGCCGTCCCCAAAAAACTGCAGACCCTGACCTATACTGCTTTTGCATTGAGGAAAGCTCTCTGAAATTCTACTTCTCCCCATCAAGTTTACAAAAGCATGTGAACAAGGACAGGGCTGAGAGCAGAAGGGACCGAGTCAAAGAGCCAGAGATGCTGTTTCTTTTTACAGACATTGGTATCAGGAACACAAGGGGGGCTTTGAGAAGGTGGCCCAGGAAGCTCAAAAAGACTCAGACTCCCATGGTAATTGGCTCTGAAATCAGAACTCAGTAGGAAGGGAGACCTCCAGGAGCCAGGGTGAAAGCAGAAGGAAACCATGAAGAATCTGAAAGTAATGAGGTAAAATTCAAATTTGTTAGAAGCTTCTAAGGAAGCGAAGGGCCAAACCTGGATCCACATTGTGCATCCAGCTCACAATTTTATAAGTTGCCTACTATGGACAAGAAGCCTATTTATCTGGACAGATTTGTCTGGAATGACATTCATTTTCAGAAGGGCTCTGTGGAAGCCTTGATAAGGGCTGCCAGTGAGATACATCAGTCCTGGCCCTTCCCACAGCATTTTCCAGGCACCAGCACCATGGTGGTAACT